GTGGTTTAAAAAAAAAATTAAAAAAATACTTTTTATTTGTTTAATAAGTTATTAATTATTATATTTTTGTTTGTTTTTGCATTTAATTTAAATTAATATATAAAAAACTTTTTAATTGTGCATGAATTGTGAATTTTTAGATAAATAATTTACAAAAAAAACAAAAAAAAAACATTTATTGATAAAAACTTAGTGATTAACAATTATTTATTGAAAAAATAAACAAATAATTGCATGACCTTTGAACCCAAACATTAATTTATTGATTTTTGAAACCATGAAAACAATAGTGTTTGTGTGGGTGTTATATGACTTTCCCCTCAAACACGTGTCCATATTATATGTAAGTAAGTTAAATGATTTTTTTTATATAAATATAACGCGCGTTAGTTTTGAAAAAATAACTTTAAAAATATTGTATTAAATTGAATGAGTGATCTGGGTTAATTTTGTGGTCAGCCAAATTGATGATGATTATGATTTTTTTTTTAAAAAATAACTACTTATTGTTTTAAAAAAAATAAGTAAAAAAATATCGATTTTATTGGCGAAAAAATAATGCAAACAAACATTTTTTTTTGATTGTAGTTTAGAGAATATTCTTCAAAAAAAATACTAATAATTATTATACAATATTTAGACATTATATATATATATATCATATATAGTACTCTTTTATGTATGTATATATATRTATATATATATATATATATATATATATATATATATATATATATGTATGTGTGTGTGTGTGTGTGTATGTGTATGTAGTAATACAACTATATTTAACAATTTATAAATGTATTCATAATAATATTAGACTTATAGAAATATACAGAGTATTATATTTTATATTTATAAATATATTAAAAATTAATTTTTTATACATTTTTTTCTTATATAATAATAATAATAATAATAATAATAAAAAAACATAACATCAAAAATGACATGTAATTCAAACGTACATCTAAAATGTTTTAAAGTTATTAATAATTTTTGTTTTGTTTCTTTATTTTTATTTTATTTTTTGCCCCAATAGTTTTTTTTATTGTTTTGTTTCATTTGCATGCATTAATTTTAGTTATTAATATTATTATTATTATTATTTTTTAATTAAATTAATTGCAAAATAATAGGTACTACTTTTTTTTTGAAATGAATAAATCAAATGTGAATTTTATTGATCAATAGATTAGAGCAAATAATATAAATTTAATATATAATAAGCACAATATATAAAGTTTATAATCATACTGTATATATATTGTATATATATATACAGTATATACTATATATAAATTATATTATATAAATACAGTGTATAAATATATCTATACCATAATGTTGTTTAAAATCAATAATAAAATAGCAATAATAAGAATAATAGGAAAAAAAATCAATTATTTTCATAACTATAAAATAATTTTTTTCCCGTTTATTTCTCTTTTAATAATATATTCAACAACATATAACAACAACAACAACAATAACAACAAAAATTATAAATAAATAAATAAAATTAAAAATCTATACATATTTTTTTTTTTTGAATAGTTTTTGAACACACACATACACTGGTAAAAAAATTAGTGGGAAAATACAAAACAAATATTTCTATAAACAAAAAAAAACAACAAAATATACTTAAATACCGTATATATATATATACAGTATATATACAATATATATATATATATATATATACAGTATATATATATATATATATATTATATACTGTCTATGTCTTGGAGGCAATTCCTTATGTCAAGAAAGAAATTCCTCGACATTTTAACAATTTTTTTTCAAAAAAGAAAAATAAAAAATAAAATATTAATAATAAAATAAAGTTATTTTTCATATTTTCCAGTTTGTATTTATAACATATATATAAAATAATCCAAATTTTTCTGTAGTTGTATCTATTGATATATTTATATATATATATATAAAATATATTATACAGTAGTTAATACAATGTTGATAATATTAATCTAATAAAAATAATAATTTTTTTTAAATAATAATGTTTTTCATAAATTTTCTAAATATCATTCATGTTTTCAGCTTAAATAAACTTAATTAATCTAAATTAGCATAATTTATTGATAATGTTATTAAATTATTAATTAATTAATTAATTAATCAAAAAAAAAACATAACAAAAATTTATGCATTTTGCGTGTATTTATTGTATATTTAGTATAAAATTAGTATATATATTGAAAAATTTTTGTTTGTGTGTGTGTGTGTGTATGTGTGGATGTATATACTGTATTATAATTTTGTTGAACAAATTTTTGTTTGCAATGTATAAACAACTATTTAAATATGTATATATAATATTAATATTTTTTGATGCCGACAAACAAACAGCGAGACATCAGATAAATTAGGCATTCATTGGATATGCAAACGGATAAGTAGTTTGACTGACTTACAGCTTATATATATATATACTGTACAGTATATATAGCTTCGGGCCATTCACTCAATACTTATATTGATATACAGTGTACGTACAGAGTATGTAATAATAATAATAATAATAATATACATATTATGATATATACTTTAGTATAACATTCCGCACAATATTATTGCATATTTTTTTTAAACAAAACAAAACAAAAAAGATTAATACATTACTTTATACTGTATTTTTATAGTAAATTTTATTTAATATTGAATATGCAATTTATTAATATTAATAAAAAGCAATTTTTATTTCATGTGAACTAGTTTTGAGCTATGATAGCGTATTATTTATTTATTTTTTACTATTTTACTACGATTTGTCATTAAATTAGAAATTAAAGTACAATTTTGTATAAATATATTATATATATATGAATTCAATTTAATGATTTTTTTTATTATTGTTGTTGTTGTATATAAACTGATATTATATTATATA